ATGACATAATATGACCGGTTAATTGCGCCTATGACATCGATATCTTGTTATTTTTATGGATGGATTTATAGGCTTTATCTAGTGCTAAGAAGAGAATAGTAGATCGAATTATAGTTACTTCGTGATGGATTATATGATGCCATCGAAATGATGTATTTTTGGAGGAAATAAATATCGGAAACAAATGATTTTTTATTCTATTAGGGATTTTTATTTTACTCGGTACAAGTCTAGGAATCAGAAAGAATACTATTTCTTGGGTTGAGTGGTTGCAAAATCCTCTCAATGCCATTTTAGTGTAATTATGTTAAAGTTCTGAATAATCATATGATGTAATTGCATGACAAGCACTACTACAAGTCATCAACATTGAACATAATTTTGTCTAAAGTTGAACTATGAAGAATAAATCCAAATAATGAGATTAAGAAGGTGTCCGATATGCTCAAATGGTGGATCATTGTTCGAATGGTGGTGCTTGACTTTACTCCTCAAGTTTTTGATGAAAGAAAACGAAGACTTAGTTTCGCGACTCGACACAAAGGGAGAGATTCTTAGGTCTTAGAGTCTAAATGTATGATGTGTACGAGTCTTATTGTGAAAGTATGTAATGTTATATTTTAGTCTTCAATGTTTGATTCTGAAAGTATGATTGGTTTCGGAGTTTTGTACACTAGGTTTCGTAGTGACATGTGTGAAATAGCTTGACAGTCTGTCATTGCCTAAGTGTCATGTTTTTATTGGTTATTTCTCTAACCGACTCTGTTTGTCAACGTATAAATATGGATGTTAGTTAGAAAGTAGAGTGTGCTTTTTGACAAGTTCTTACATCCAAAGTTGTAATCATGTTTTCATAATCTAATATAGTATCATAATCTTATTTACTCTCTTGTATAATTTATACTTTCATTTTCAATCACGATTTCATACTTTTAGAATCAATTCGATCCTACACAATTCAGTATTTAGCTATGCAATGCAATGCATTTATGTCACACCCCCAAACCAAGGATGGCGGAAACGTCCGGGGGTGGAGGACTTCATGTATAGTATCATAACAGCAATTGTAATAGTAATTCAAGCAAACACAACCAACATATATATAATTGAAAAAATATTACATCATTGTATGAATTACATGTTTACGAATCAATTACAATATGTTGATAAAATATGAAATAGTAGACGCCTTAGCGTCCCATCCTCAAAAGCACTTGATTACCTGTTTAATGATTTCCTGAGAATACAAGTTGTTTGAAAAAGTGTCAACACAAAGGTTGGTGAGTTCATAAGCTTTTCATTTGTAAAAGTAGTATTTGTGTTAGAAAAATCCAATATTTTCCTTAATGTGTAAATGTAGTCTTAAAACCCAAAGACCGAAATGTACAAGTAATTTGTCATATTTATAGTAAAACAATGCAATTTTAAATCGACATAAAATCGTTAAATTTTAATGAAGTTCCCGTAAATTACAATGTTTGTTAATACTTTATGTGAGTTTATTATAACCATACTATGACCAAGGTTGCCTAAAACGACGTTCTTCAGGCGTCGGAAATGTTATGACATTTGTCACCCCAGACCTATCGGTCTAACTGTTGCATGCAGTTTAGGTGTGGGTTTGTCAAACCCAATATAGATCTATACACAAGTATCACGCTCTCCCTCAAGGAGACTCTGGTTACAATACAGGACTTAATGGTAATTTGAAGTAATTGTCTCACAAAGTCATTAACGGAATTTCGTGTTATGAAAACTTGGTACCGTATGGCCGTACCTTGCTTAATGAAAATATCCTTTGTATAAATGTACCCTTTTTAAATGTATGTGTTATGTAATGTATCATAAACTATACCTATTATAGTTTATCAACCAAGGGTAGTACGTGGTAATGTATGCAAACTATATTCAAAATAGTTTATTTAATGTTTGAATGTATCGATTGTACTTTGATTATAATCACTTGTTATTCTTTATATTTTATATGACCAAATCCATTTGTAAACTGATGTGTGTCTAAATATTAAGATAAAATGTCATATATTGCAGTAACATATAGTCACATAAAGATATACACCTTGCTCAACATGTTACAAGATGAAATGAAATTAACAGCAACTTTTCGTTAAAAACAGTTTCTGTTACCGTTCTTAGAAAATTTATAGAAAAATCATCACAGCTCTAAATCCAAATCCGCAAATTTTGAGAGTTTGGAATATGAGTCTAGTTTGTTCGTGAATTTTATCATGATTTTTAGTGATCTCTAACAGAGGTGAAAATGTTCATAATCACAGACTGGTCGGGGTTTGCCTCTGAAATGACAGGCAGTTTTGTAAAAATCACCATTAATTGTAGAAAAATCATTTGGAGGTGTGCAAGTAGTCATTTTAAAGCTAAGAGTTTGAACTACTTGCATCTGAAACAGTTTGAAAACTAAAATTTTTAAGTTAGCCAAAACAGTCCGTGATTAACGTCCATCTTTTCTGATGCAATCTGTTAGAAAAAGTTTAATTGTGTTCTTGATGATTTTACTTGTATTCCCCCCTTAAAACTTAAGAAAAACATGTAAATGTATGGTATGAACTCACTTTATGTGGTTTCAGTGGATGAAAGTGAGAGAGAGGAAGTGTTCAACTCAAGAACACTAAGAAGATGTCTTGATGATTCGAAAATCTAACACCGAATAAGATGGAACTTGTGTAAGATATCAATGATTTGAGTAGAATGGAGTTTAATAATTATGTGAATGATGAAGATACTTACTAATTGAAGCAAGAAATCCCTGGAGAAAGCCTTGAAGTTCTTGAAGTTGAGAGAAAAGATGAGAGAATTTTGGAGAGTGTTCTTGGTTGCTAAGTGTAGAATGAAAGAGTTTTTATGGAGGATGAGGAGAGAGGATCAATCCTCCAGCTCTTAGAACGTGGGAAGAGCTGGAGATTGGTTGTAAAGGTCCACTAAGGAGACAAGGAGTAGTGGGAAAGAGTGGATGATCATAGAGTGAGGTGGTGGTGGCTTGCTTTTGTCATAAAATAAGGAAAAGCAAATATTCCCTCAATAATTAGTCCAACCACCAATTCTTTTAATACATTTTTATAAAAACCCTGGAGATTTATATATTTTGGGGCCTTAGTTTATAAAATAAAGTTTTGGGTGAAAATCCCACGTTAAAATAATGAAAAACGGAGTTAAAACGAAGTCGTAGTCGAAAAACCGGAAAAATTATGACACGCAAACATGCATGTCGTCTTCTTTTATGACAGGGGCTTCCTTGATACTCATTGCGTGTCCTAAACACGCGAGTCGTAAGTTTACGACAGACAAATGTGTGTCGTCTTCCTTTATGACAGGGACTTCGGTCCTGAAGCTTCAGTTTTGGGTCCTTAAGCCTATTTTACCCGTTTTTACCCCGTTTCAAGTGGTTTTTGACCCAGTTAAGGGTCGGGATGGCCCGAATGATTACAAAAAATTAAAGGAACTTTTGAGAGAGATTTGGGAGAGATTTGGGAGAGATTTTAATAGAGAGAGGTTGAGTGAAAGAGATTGTGAGAGGTTTCGTTTGTGATCTTTTTGAGTGTCCGGCTTCGCAACGAAAGGTCCATAAACCCCGTTAAGCCATGATTTAGTGTCTTACACAATCCCGATGATTGTGCAATAGTGTTTTATCGCTTTGGTTTGTTGTTTAGCATTGTTAAGGCTAAGGAAAATCAAACACATGAACTTTCCAAATGATGATTTCTCATTAAAATAGCGAATTGTATAGTGATTACATAACGTAAACCCTAGCATACAAGGGTTATTGGAGTTGACCGGTTTGACTTGTTGACTTTGAATTGACCGAAATTTGACGGTTGTCACAATTTATGTTGCCATTTCCATATCAAAATAGCGATACTTGAAACCTCAACCTTTGGCTGAGGGGCACATATCCATCAACTTTTGATATTGCTTGACTATAAGCTCTTTGGTCTACAACCACCAATTATGTACCATATTTCATAGAAGAATAGCTATAGTTGTTGATTCCATAGCAACTTTTCAGAGCTAACCAAGATTTAGCTAAAAATGCAATTTTGTAGCTGTTTTTGTAACAAAATACCTACGACCACCCATTCTATAGCATATTCCGTAGTAGAATAGCTATAGATTTGAATTGTGTAGTAACTTTCTGTAGCTATTTAAGATTTTTCTTGTATTGATTGTGTGTGTCTTTTCGGTTTGGATACAAACTTTTTACATTTTTTTGTTTCGGTTTCGAGTTTTCCATAAATAAATATGGAAATCTCCAAAAAAGTCTCAATATTTTGGTGCAGTTTATGAAAAAATCTCAAATTTTATTTTGCTAACAAAAAAGTCCAATTACTGAATAAAAAAGTCAAGTCAACCCTTTTTTTACTTATAACTTATATTTTACCCAGTTAGCTCAAGAAAAATCCTATTAGTTGGGACAGTTTATAAAAAAGTACTATTTTATTTTTTACTTCAACTCTTTTACCTTTCACTAAAATTCTGGAAATTTCTTGGTTCAAATATTGAATAGAATTAAATGTCATTAACCTCTATAAATCTAAGGATCAAAGTCCTCTATAACCAACTATTTACCACAAACAATAACGTAAGCATCATTTTGAACTCGTCATTGTCCATATAATCTCTTTCTCACACAAATTTATGTTACAAGTATTATAAGATATTTAAAGGGCTAATGTCATATTAGCCCATCAAACTTGTTGGGTTTGTTTTAAAAGATCACCTAACTTCTTTTTTTTTTTGTACATTAAAGGAATGAACTCTCGTTTGATCTGTTAAAAATGCCAGTTAACCTACTATAACAGGTTGTAGCTTCCTTTCCTCCAAAGAAAAGGTTAAAAGATAGTGATGGATAGTTTATTTATGTAAGCACTAAATCAATCATTCATGGCCTCTCGAGTTAATCTTTCGAAGAACGAAGGGCAACATTGTCAAAAATCCAATGTTTATAAAAAAGAATCACATAAAACTGAATGATTATCGCTGAATCAGGATGGATTCCGATTCTTGTTGGTTTATTAACATCCGAAGATCTTACTACAGAAGAGAACTTAAACCTCTCGGTATACGATAACAACAGAGGATTAAGAATGATGGAAAACGCGATACCTTCTCTTGTTCAACTTCTCAGATCTGGAACCATGGAAACGTGAGAAAACGCCGCCGAGACGCTTTTCAGCTTATCGCTTTCCGACGAAAACAAGATCGTAATCGGTGGATCTGGTGCGATTCTAGCGCTAGTTGATTTACTTGAAAACGGAAGCAAAAGAGGAAAAAACGACATTGCGACAGCGTTGTTCAGTCTCTGTATATATCAAGGAAATAAAGGGAGGGCAGTTAGGGCTGGGATTGTTGTGATGTTGTTTAAAATGTTGACCGATTTGAATATCATTATGGTTGATGAAGCTTTGACTTTTCTTTCAATTCTTGCTAGCTACAACGAAGCTGAACGACTATGGTGAGAGCTCAAATTATTCCTGATTTGATTAATTTTGTAAAATCTAGGATTCCGAGAAGCAATGAGAATGCTACTTCGATTTTGCTTTCGTTGTGTAAGCGAGACAATGAGAATATTGGATGTGTGATCAGAATCGGGGCATTGACGCCATTGATGGAGCTTGCTGTGAATGGTAGTGAGCGAGGTAGACGAAAGGCTAACTTGTTGTTCGGCTCATATTGAATGGTCTCGATAAAATATGGAGTATATAATAGTAATCATTGACTGAATTATTTATCTCATTCTTAATTTTTTTTTCTACATGATTCTTTAGTTAAAGAAAAACAAAGAGGTGAAGCAAGTTCTTGTACTTTTCTTTGTATTCTTGTTGGTCAGGATGGTCTATTTGATATGGTGAGTATACTTTAATGGAGGCAGTTGATGGACAAACAATGGTCAAGACACATATTTTATAGGTTTACTGTAACATCCAAATTTTAGATATATCATTATGAGAGTAAATTCTGAGATTTATGGAGCGACTCAACGAGTTGTGAGTCCAACTCGTCGAGTAGAGTTGAGTCATCCGCGTGGGTTTAATGAGCGGACTCGACAAGTCAGTGTGCGGACTCGCCGAGCTGGTGCTGTGCGAGGAAACCCTAAATTCCCAGGGTTGGGGCCTATTTAAGGAGACTTATAACCTCAAATGCGCCTCACCAGCTGCCCAACTCTCCTATGTGAAACCCTGAGCGGCCATTGAAGATAAGAGAGAGTGCTTGAGCTAATATCAAGTGTTTTTGGTGAATCTTTGAAAGGAAAGGAGTGAGCAACAAGCAAGGAACAAGAATAGGCAATGGGATCTAGCATTTCTTCACCTGGAGCTTCTGTAGAAGGTATAAAGTCTACACCTTTCTCATCTTATTAGTTGGATCTCATGAGTTTGAGAAGTTAGGGTTTCATCACATATTATTTGGGACTTCGAGAATACTAAGTTATCAGCAGGTTTAAACCTTAGATCTGGACCTTGTGAGATCCGTAGAGCCCAAAGGTCCCAACTTTATTCATCCATGAGAGGAGTATTGTGTTTAACACCTTGTGAGAACATATATTGATAGATTGGAGCAAAACCACCATGCATGAGCGTAAAGATCGAAGATTTACGTGACAATCGAGCCTTAGGATAGTAGATCTAGTGTTTGGAGTGACAGATCTGCCTTAAATCGTCTGAATGAGGAATCAGATCGAAGGGACTCACCGAGTCCATGAACTGACTCGACGAGTCGGTTAGGGTTTGTCCCGATGAGTTGGACCGTGCAATAGCTCGGCGAGTTAGGGGTTAACTCGACGAGCTAGACCTTCACGAGACTTATGAGGAACGAGTGGACTCGACGAGTCGCCTTAGTGCATTCGGCGAGTCGGGTCAAACATGGACTGTTGACTTGAGTTTGACTTCTGTTGACTTTAGGGTTTGGTCAACATGAGTAATGGAGACCATGGAGGGATAAAATGCTCTTTTACCCAATTCAAGAGTTAGAGAGAAAAGAATAACATTTGGTTATTGAGAATCGAGAATCGAGTATTAATTAGAGATATTTACCCTATGTGTTAGGCAGTGGCTAGTTCGAGATTCGAGTTCGAGGATGATTGCTTGCTATTCTCAAGGTTAGTCTTCTCACTATACTTTACCTAGAGTGGTACTTATGTGTGACCTGAGTGTCTTATGTGCTTACATTGAGTATTATGTTATCCTGCCTTATGTTTGATGCTGTGCATTATGTCTTTGTGATTTATGCTATGTGAAGCTTTACAGACCGGACCAGAGGGTGCAACGAACCGTGGGACTGGAGGGTACCACTGAGACACATTGACCGGAGGGTCTTACAGTGATATAGCCTCGAGTGGCTAAGCAGCTGTGTGTGTGGTATTTTGGGGAACTCACTAAGCTTCGTGCTTACCGTGTTATGTGTTATGTGTTTCAGGTTTCTCAGGATCGTGGGAAGGCACCGACTTGATTATACACACCAGAGAAAGAGTCATGTTATGAGGATCCTGGATTATCAATCAAACAAATTATGGAGTTGTGTTTTGTAAATTAAACCAATGAGATTTTTATGAAATGTGTTATGAGAATCAAGTGATTTTAAAACGAAAAATTTGTTTGAAAATTTACAGTGTTACAAGTTGGTATCAGAGCCTTGGTTTGAGGGATTCGGATGCACCTTCGGGTAAGTCTGGACTCAAACTGAGGATTTGAGAAAAGTTTTTAAAAAGAAAAGATTTTTCTATAACGAGTAAGAGATTCTAAGAGAAAACGAGAAGGAGCAGTGTGTACAATCAGCCAGAGCCCGAACGGTGATTTCCCAAAGTACCCTTACTTATTTGTGTTATAAGTTATGATTGAGATATTGGTAATGCATGCTAGAAGGTAGGCTAGGTATTTCATATTTTAGGGCTAGAGATGCCTGATTTGTGATGTCATAGCCTAGGAATTGTTGCTATCTGTGATGTGCTTTGAGTATGTGAGGAGTAAGAGTATCCAGTAGGAATCTTTTAGAGAGAACTTTGAGTAGAGGAGTAATCTAGGAGAGATACCTAGATGAGCAACTGAGGATTCTATTGAGGGAGTAGTGAGATACCCATGAAAGGTAGGGTTGCTTGAGTTCAGTGATATCTTTTGAGTGTGAGTAGGGCAAGTGGGGATGTAGCCTAGAATGGTTTTGCATGTTGGTGGAGATTATTCGATGCCCGAATGTTGCTTGCTTGGTGCTTTGTGGAACTCTTGATGATGGGAGTCAGCCACCGAGTGAATATGACGATATTCAGGAGGTAGATGGTTAGCATCATTAAAAGTTCTTCAGCAGCTGATGTCGGAGAAGTGTGAGAACTTAGGAAGAGCCTGAGAAGTGACTTTAGTTAGAAGAGTACGTTGATAGAGGAGAGTATTCACTGTATAGCGACCATACATATCCGGATTGGTGATCGAGGGGGTTGAGCAGCTACTTAGGAAGTCTGGGACTATCCGTGTGGAAAGTATGGGTAGATGTGGCAGGTAGTATGGGCCCGTACTACTGAAAGCAGAGGACCCGTACTCGAAACAGGAAGAATACCAGAGGTTCTAAATAGCAGATTGAGAAGTGATTCGTAGCAGATTGAGAAGTGATAACATGGTTCGAGTACCATGATTCGTAGCAGATTGAGAGGAGATCGCATGGTTCGAGTACCATGATTCGTGGCGGCTAGTGCTTCGAGTTTAACCAGTTATCCCGTTGTGATTGATTAAATTGAGAAAAGATATGATAGAGTGTGGGGCCAGAGGGCCATGTCGAGCGAGTTTAATGGAGCATACCTGGAGAGGAAAAATCGAGTTAGCTTCGAAGAAATTTTCTTTGGTAAAATGCCAGTTGGAGTCGCAAGACACAGGGATGAGTAGAAATGAGATTTCATGGAGAGTTGCAGCCTGAGTTGAGCAATCGGCAAATAGTTGAGATTTCAGTTTCTGTGATGAGAGTTGTGCTGTTTCCGCTTCCTGGGAGAACCAAATGATATATTGAGTTCCAGTTCCAGAGTTGGAGGTAAACTCCGTGGGGTAGCATAGGGTTGCAACCTTTTCACCAGAGTATTTGGGCAGCATGGTTGCTGCGAGGTATTCCATATACCACGAGAGAGCTATTAGTGGAGACTGAGATGAAGACAAGGAGATGCCTTAGTCGAGTCAGGCATACTTTTAGCAGCTGTTTCAAGTGATCAAGAGGAGTATACTGGGGCGGTGGCCCTCGTTGTCTACATTGTGTATCGACTGTGAGAGTAAAACCTCTTGCTTTTATGATTGCTTATGAGATGAGATACTGGTTGAGGAATCCGAGGCAAGGTGCGTGATAGTGTATTATTTCCAGATTGAGAGTCACGACTGTTTGGAACAGTTGGGGTGTCCGGTGGTGTGTCGGTTTGAGGATTCGAGATGACTAGAGGCAGTCACGTCGAGGGGATTCTGAGAATTTTGTCTGAGCTACGAGATATTTGGAGTTGTCTGGTCTGCATCGGAAGATCATCGAATGTTGCGTTGTACGAATCCAAGAGTCGAGTGTAATGTACCTAGCGAGACAGTCTGTAGAATAAATGGTTGGCGTGCCAAATGGTAATGGTTCGAGCCCTGAGTGGGGGAGAACCGGGCATTGTATTGAGAATATCATGGGTTTGTGCAAGAGTGGTTAGAGGCCTGGATATAGTGACCTGCGGTGCGGATATAGCAGACCGAGGTTATTGGTGATCAAGGCGAAGTGTAGAGCGAGATAATGCATGTTGTACATGATCATGAAGGGATGAGTGTCTCCACGGCGGGTGGCTGTTGGTCGGAGACCTTGTGGTGGTTAGGAATTCTTTGAGGTTGTAATGGTAAATTAGAGGTGGGTGGCTCGTAAGGATAGTTTCGGCGGTGGAGAATTTCTGGTTCAATGTATGGGTTGTTATATGCACTCTGGGAAGGGTAAATGTTGACTGGGCAGTCAACTTCAGAGTTGGTATGAGTATTCTCGCATGGGTTTGAGCAATAGAGGATGGGGTTTCGGATGGTCATCAACGGGTTCTTGACATTGACAATTCTTCCATGTGTCAAGTTGTGAGTTGGAGTATTTCGAGGTTGCGAGCTGTACAAGTCGAAGATCAGTGGATGAGACAGGACATTGTGAGATTCTGAAAAAGTGTATTGTGGTATCCTAGTATGATGTCGTGAGTGGAACATCAGTGTATGAGACAAGACAACATGAAAATTCGTGATGGTGTACCGGGGTATCTGAGTATGACGCCCTAAAATTTTGGATTATTTTGAGATTTGAGTTTGCAAGTGGAGTACCGAGTGACTATTGTTCCAGTGGGAACCCATCAGTTAATTGTCGCCAGAACGAGACTGTCTAAGGGTGTACCTGTGTTGAGAAAAGTGTCTTGATTACGAGAATTTACATGAGGAGCGATGGTGCATAAGCTGAGTAGGTGGGTGCACCTATCAATGTTGGGGTTGTGGGCATGAGTCAGTGAACTCGGTGTAGTGATGATATGATGATGAGATTATGAGGTGAAAAGAGAGCGAGTGGATCTGAGTGGGGGTGATCACTTAGGATTATCTGGGAAAACCATGGAGTGATCCCATGGCGAGTCAGTGAGTGAGAAAGTGTTGAAAGACTACGGGGAGCCGTAGCATCCATGAGTCAGTGAGAGAAAAGGGATCGTGTGACTGCGGAGAGCCGCAT